GAGAAAGAAGCCAAATGCTATATTTTATTACTTAGGCATAATTCCAGTATTGTAGGAAAATTCCAAGAATTTACAAATAATTCCCCAATCCTACTCTTCTGTAAGATTCCCCAAATGTCAGCATTTTACATTTGCCTTCTCTCTTGTTCTGTCTCTTTTTCTAAACTGTTTGAAAGTACTTTGGAGACATGCTCTCTCTTTATTCCTAAACACTTCAATGTGTTCCCTTAAAATAAACAAAAACATTCTCTCACATACCCAAAGTACAATTTTCAAAACTCAGGAAATTAGTATTGACTCAGCCATCCCCTGAACTTATTTGGCCAGATTTTGCCATTGTCCCATTAATGTCCTGAATAGCAAAAGAAAATCCTGACACATGCATTACATTCAGTTGTCATGTCTCTTTTGCTTCCTTCCATCTGGAACAGTTCTTCAGTACTAGGTATATTTCTGATCTCTTTAAATGATATGCAGTTAATTCCATATCATTTTAATATTTTATCTATTTAATATTTTAATTATTTAACATCTTCATGTTAATAGTTTTCTCATTTCCTTAATAAATTGAGCTCATTCCTTACTAAAAATATGCTCATTTGAGTATTATCTTCACTGATGCAGATAGTAATAAAAAGAGAAATGGTCAAAGGTAGACAAGCCTGAGATAAATACAGAGAAGAAACAACGCAGTGGCCCATGTGCTAAATTAGCAGTCCCTGTACACACAGAGAGCCCGTCAGCAGTTTGGAGAAAGTACCTACGGGAAAACATCTATTCCTCCTGCAGTGTTAAGCTCCTAAAAAACATTAATTTCTCAGGGCTTTGTGTACATAGCATCTCATATACCCTTACATAGCATCTCAGACACTCTTACATTTATGTATTAAAAAGAAAACATATTCTCTGCAGAAATTCCCCCAGGCCTTCAGCCTCCGCATTTAAGGTAGGTGCTGATGTTAAACGTAATTCTGAGCATTCTGGTTGCTAAAATTAAATGTACATCCAGTGATACATATTTAATAATCTAAGTAGTTTTCAATGATGCGGAGGAAAACAGATCCCAGTAACTGAAGAGGTTAAAACAAGAGGATCTAGATGAGGTTCTTTCAAGTAAAATCATTTTAATCATCTAGATATACTATTTTAAATTTTGAATTGATTGTAGGCTTCTAGGTTGGTATTTTCTCAGATGTTACGCATTAACACTTGCTACACACACACACGTACGTCCACACACACTGAAATGGCCCTCACCCGGCACATTTTAATTTCTTTGAGCCAAATGTAGATTTTCTTTGGCACATACTTCTAGTTTGCCTTGTGGCAATCTTTTAACCAAATTCTGGATATTTTCCAAGGCTCATCTAGTCTCACCTCTCCTTAAAATGTATGGTCACCAATCATCTCATTCCTCTATGAAATCTTTTATTGACAGTCTGTCCCCATCATTCCAGAACTGGCTTAATACTGTTTATGTCAGTATTCCTAATCTGATTAATGAATTCTCTTATAGGAAAGCCTTTTGAAGTCAAAACAGTAATGAATGCTTCTGTTGCTAATGTCATTGTGTCAGTGTTGCTTGGAAAACGGTTTGATGACCAAGACACCCAATTCCTGAGACTCTTAACCTTGATTGGTGAAAATGTGAAGCTCGTTGGAGGTCCTAGGATTGCAGTAACTGTATCTTCCCTACTCAATTTTACTTCTTCTAAGGTAGGTTAGAAGAAGTAGGTTGTTCAAGAGACCATGAAAAAGTATTTGTTAGAGAATTGCCATTTCAAAAATGTACACTTTCTGGAACATTATGAGTACAGAGATGTGACAAGCCTGCTTGGTTAACACATCTGATAATTCCTCCATCACAAATTACTGCATCAGGATGCCTGGGTGGCTCAGTCAGTTATGCATCTCCCTTTGAGTCAGATCATGATCCCAGAGTGCTGGGATCAAGTCCCGCATCGGGCTCTCTGCCCAACGGGGAATCTGCTTCTCCCTCTATCCTTCCACTCTGCTCATGATCTTTCTCTCTCTCTCAAGTAAGTAAATAAAAATATTAAGAAAAACAAATTACTGTATCAAATAATATCTTACAATGCATGGATTGTGAATCACATCAATAAATAGTTCAGTTTATGACTTCAGTAAATTTTCACAATTTGGCCATTCATCTTTTACCCATACCACTGGTTATGCATCGATGCTTATCACGGATAAGCCATGAATGAATAAGGAACACTCAGAAGAATTCACTTAGAAGAGTGAATTTAAACAGAGGAGAACTATCAAGTACTAAAAACAGTACTAAATAAAATTTTAATATCTATTCTGCATCACGTAAGTTCAAAATAGTGCTACAATCCAATTTTTTATATTTGCGAGCAATAAAGTTGCTGTCTTCTAGAATGTAGGAACTAAGAGCCTTGTCAAATAGTTCCCATTTTCAATAGCACAACTGATAGCTGACAATATTATTTCACTTTGTAATAATTTAGGTTCTGTTATTATAAGTACATGTTTACTTTAAATACACCTGTAACTTAAAGGGGAAACAGGCAACTATGTCTGTTTTTTTAAGTCAATTAGAGAAAGACAATTATCATATGATTTCACTCATGTGGAATTTAGGAGACAAAACAGAAGAGCATAGGGGAAGGGAGAGAAAAATAAAATAAAACGAAACCAGAGAGGGAGACAAACCATAAGAGACTCTTAATCATAGGAAACAGGATTTCTGGAGGGGAGGTGGGGGGAATGGGGTAACCGGGTGATGGACATTAAGGAGGGCACATGATGTAATGAGCACTGGGTGTTATATAAGACTGATGAATCACTGACCTCTACCTCTGAAACCAGTAATACATTATATGTTAATTAATTGAATTTAAATAAATTAAATAAATAGCTCAATCTTTAAATAGAATTTAAAAAAGATTTAATTTATTTACTTATTTGAGAAGGAGAGAGTATGAGCAAGTGTGCAAGTGGGAGCTGTGACAGGGGTGGGGGAAAGAATCTCAAGCAGACTCCATGCTGAGCATGGAGCCCAATGCAGGGCTTGATCCCAGGACCTAGAGATCATGACCTGAGCTGAAATCAAGAGTCTGATGCTTAACCAACTGAGGCACCCAGGCACCCAACTATGTCTAACTTTAGGTTGGCCTTTTATCTTTGGTATTTATTAGGTCACTTGGGTGGTTAGGGCCCCTTTGAGAATCTGATGAAATATATAATAGAGCTTATCTCTCAAATACATGAATATACTGAGAAACATACCAAATTTAGCAAACAGTGAAGTCCTTCCTGAACTTTCTAAGGGTTAGGGAATATTAGATTATATGGTGCTGCTCCCTGGGACCTATACACAGTAGACCTGTTCTAAATTACAAAAATAATTATTCTGATCCTGCAAGGAAACATTAGTGGTAAAGTGAGTGTGCTACATAGGACTAAAAGAGTTTAACCTGGAATCACCTAGGAGTTTGGACGAAAAACAGATTTATAGCCCTAACCATAAAGCCAATACTGTTTCCATGTCTTGTCTAACCTCTAAGTAGACGTGTTGGGTTACTACTGGCATAATATACAAAATACTTCGGGTACATAGAACTTACTATAAACCATATCAATATTCATTGTAAGTTACCTAGTTCCACTAAGTCATGTTTTCCAGGTCAGTCTGCCAGTTAGTTGAGACAAAATTGAAGTCTAAATGAGATGTTATTTCTATAATGCTTCCAGAAATAATGGTGTCATTCCCATTATTGCACACATTACATATGTATATTTAACTTACTTTGCTGTTTTTTATTCTTTCAGCTTTTCAATATGTTTCCAGTTTTGGGGTTCCTCCTAAAAAGTCATAAGACAGTACTCAGGAATAGAGATGAATTATTTGCTTTTATAAGGATGACTTTCCTAGATCATCAGCATAAATTTGACAAAAATGATCCAAGAAGCTTCATTGATGCTTTTTTGGTCAGACAGCAGGAGGTAATGGTGTTTTGCTCAGGGGTTACCTTAGCCTATTGTTTATTATTTGGTTTAATTAATAGCATCTGGAGGAAAAATATTTCTTGCAAAGAAGAAAGATCACTGGATTCAATTAGGTTAACAATGGTAGATTAGTATCCTACAAAGAATGCTATTTACTACATTTTCCATTCTCAAAAATTTCCTACTGCTTTTCACATCACTCTCTGAAAAAAAAAAAAACAAGATATTTAGAGATCTCAAATGTTAGCTTTTAGAATTAGTACAGTATTCCTTTTATTGCAATCTTGAAAATGTGTGTCAGTTGACTAAACCAAGAAAGATTATTTCATGCAATTAAAAAAAAAAAACAAAACAGGGGCTCCTGGGTGGCTCAGTCGTTAAGCTTCTGCCTTCGGCTCAGGTCATGGTCCCAGGGTCCTGGGATCGAGCCCCACCTCGGGCTCCCTGTTTGGCAGGAGGCCTGCTTCTCCCTCTCCCACTCCCCCTGCTTGTGTTCCCTCTCTCGCTGTCTCTCTCGTCAAATAAATAAATAAAATCTGTAAAAAAAAAAAAAAAACAGTGTTGGGCATATTCTTTTTTTCTTATTTTTTATTGTTATGTTAATCACCATACATTACATCATTAGTTTTTGATGTAGTGTTCCATGATTCATTGTTTGTGTATAACACCCAGTGCTCCATGCAGAACGTGCCCTCTTTAATGCCCATCACCAGGCTAACCCATCCTCCCACCCCCCTCCCCTCTAGAACCCTCAGTTTGTTTTCCAAAGTCCATCGTCTCTCATGGTTTGTGTCCCCCTCCGATTTCCCCCCCTTCAATCTTCCCCTCCTGCTATCTTCTTCTTTTTTTTTCTTAACATATATTACATTATTTGTTTCAGAGGTACAGATATGTGATTCAAGTCTTGCACAATTCACAGCGCTCACCATAGCACATACCCTCCCCAGTGTCTATCACCCAGCCACCCCATCCCTCCCACCCCACCCCCCACTCCAGCAACCCTCAGTTTGTTTCCTGAGATTAAGAATTCCTCATATCAGTGAGGTCATATGATACATGTCTTTCTCTGATTGACTTATTTCATTCAGCATAACACCTTCCAGTTCCATCCATGTCATTGCAAATGGCAAGATCTCATTCCTTTTGATGGCTGCATAATATTCCATTGTATATATATACCACTTCTTCTTTATCCATTCATCTGTCGACGGACATCTTGGCTCTTTCCACAGTTTGGCTATTGTGGACATTGCTGCTATACACATCGGGGTGCACGTACCCTTTCAGATCCCTACTTTTGTATCTTTGGGGTAAATACCCAGTAGTGCAATGGCTGGATCGTATGGTAGCTCTATTTTCAACTTTTTGAGGAACCTCCATACTGTTTTCCAGAGTGGCTGCACCAGCTTCCATTTCCACCAACAGTGTAGGAGGGTTCCCTTTCTCCGCATCCCCATGGTGGGCATATTCTAATCACTCAGTTAAAAACTAATTTCCAGGGGCGCCTGGGTGGCTCAGTTGGTTAAGCCACTGCCTTCGGCTCAGGTCATGATCCTGGAGTCCTGGGATCGAGTCCCGCATCGGGCTCCCTGCTCGGCAGGGAGTCTGCTTCTCCCTCTGACCCTCCTCCCTCTCATGCTGTCTCTCATTCTCTCTGTCTCAAATAAATAAAATAAAAAAAATAAAATTAAAAAAAAATAAAATAAAAACTAATTTCCAAATGCCAAACAGCCTTTCCCATTGTTAGAATTATTTATCATCGTTAGCATCTGGGATGTGCTTTATTCGAAAATTCTGCACAATATCCTCATAATAAAAAAATTCCACTCAATTGAGGAAAGAATGCCCAGCTTTGCTTTTTAAATTCATGTTAGGTTATCTGCTATGATTGTCCAGTATAAAATTTTTTCATCACTAATAATTCCTTTCCCCTTTCAGGAGAAAGATACATCTACTGCCTATTTCAGTGATGAAAATTTGGTGGCACTGGTTAGTTACCTTTTGCGGTTTGCGGCTGGTACAGAAACCGTGGCCTCCACACTGTGCTGGGCACTTCTGCTCGTGATGCGATATCCTGAGGTCCAGAGTAAGTCTCTTAAGATTCAGGGCATTGCCTGAAGGAAAGACTCAGAAATCTCTTGGGCTGGAAAAAAGCAGAATTCTATGGCCACACGAGATACCTTTAATTTATACCCTTGAGGACAGTGTGTACTTTTAGGTTCCTTTTGACATGAGAAAGTAGATTTTGCTCTCCAAGCTTCCTGAGACGGTCTGCAGGTGTCACTCCGTGCAGGTCCCCAGAGGGACCTCAGGAATAGAGGTCAAGTGCAAGCAGTGCAGAGAAAAGATGGGTCAGAACTCATAGAGCACTTTGGTTTGATTTTCACATGGAAGGAAAACTGAGAAGATTGTTCCAATATCCCCTCCCCTACCTCTAATCACTGCATTTTATCCAGAAAAGGTCTGTGATGAGATCACCAAAGTTGTGGGGTCAGCCCAGCCTCGAATTGCACATAGAACTCAAATGCCGTACACAGATGCTGTCATTCAAGAAGTACAGAGATTTGCTGATATCCTGCCCACAAGCTTACCTCATGCAACAACCACAGACGTGATATTTAAAAATTACTATATTCCCAAGGTAAGGGTTTAAGAAGGGGAAATGAGGGGAACGGGAAAGGATGTCAGGTGCTCAAAATCACAGAAGCACTGAAATGAACTGTTGGAAGGCAATCTCAGCCTGCCTTTCTTCCTGCCATCCCTCCCTCCCACTCCCTCCCTTCCTTTTTTCCTTCCTCTCTCCCTCCCTACCGTCCAATAAAAGGTAACTGAGTGTATCAGTGTGTGTGCACAGACTAGGTGGTAATTACTCCGTGCAAGGTATTATAAGGTATTATTATTTCTATGTGGCAGTTGAGGAACTTGGGGTTCAGAGAGTTTAAGCGAGCTGGGTGAGTAAGGGGGCCAGATCCCCAGAAAGGCATGCCACCATTTTAGAGCTCAGTTTTCACCACGCAGGGCCCCTGACAGCCACACCTCTGGCCTCACATGCTTCCTCACACAGAAACATGCCCAGGCCCTCTGCTCCTCAATCTTATGGCATCTAGATGCATTCTTGTGCTTTCCACTTGCAAATTGAAGAAGTATGCATAGATATTTGCTAAAAGGACACTGAAGGCAGGAATCCGCATAGGATCAGAGCATGCCCATAGCACTAATTCTGTTCCTTAAAGCTTTGTCTGGTCACTGCTTCTGGGCCCACCTCTGCATGAATCCGCAGGGGCCACTAGCTATGTGGACCCCCTCCCCACACTATCGCCTGCTACTCTGTGTGTACCCTACAAACAAGGGGCGGCATTCATCTTTGGAGTTCCCTTCTCAAGCACGCATTAAAACACTGTTGGATTGAATTAATCAGATTTGTAGCTGATAAAAACAAATATAACCGATGTCAAAAACAAGAAAAAGAGACCCCCAAGGAAGCTTTAATAATGGCATACACGCCTACCATGCTCCTGGTGGCTAGGTCCCTCAGTTTCACCGAGCTCCAATGGAAATAATCTAGCACAGTTGTCATAAGGAGGAAAAATCCACAATGCCCAGGTACATATACTTATAAATAAAAAAGAAAGAAACAAAGGAATAGAGCACAAAGGAAGTTGTAAAATAAAACACTTTAAAGCAGTTGTTTGCTTTTCGTGACTCAAAAACTATACAGATTCATGCGCTAAGACAGCTAACCACAATGATAGTCTTGCAAAGCTTTCTTTCTTTCTTTTTTTTTTAAGATTTATTTATTTGAGAGAGCGAGAATGAGAGAGAGAGTACATGACGGGGGGGGGGGATTAGAGGGAGAAGCAGGCTCCTCGCTGAGCAGGGAGCCCGATGTGGGACTCGATCCAGGGACTCGATCCAGGGACTCCAGGATCATGACCTGAGCCGAAGGCAGTCGCTTAACCAACTGAGCCACCAGGCACTCCTTGCAAAGCTTTCTTAAAGAGGAAGCTATGATTAACTACAGTGAAGTAGTGAACACTGTTGTTAATGGAGGGGCAGGCTTTTCTTACTATTATTTTAATTTTAGTTTTCAGAATACTCTTTCCCATATCACAATTAAAATTCCTTTCCTCAATCATCCTCGGTTGTCTCAGAGCATGTGGCAAGCTGTGGAAGGGGGAGCAGCTGACTTTTGAGGATTTGCTTCGATGGGCTCATTAGATCTAGCTTGTCCACCCTCTCAGTCCCTGGAGGGAAAAGAGCAAAACCTCACTGAGCCTCAGACCTGCCAGGGACCGCACCAGGGTTGGTCTACATATCGCTGCACCTGAGGCTCACAAGTCACCCCATGAGGGCTCTTTAACTCCCTTCATATAGATTTAGAAACTGGGATATATCAAAAGTTAAACAACATGCCATTATCACATAGCAAACACAGGACTAAGTAAGAATCCATTTCTAGTTCTGAGTCCAAGGCTTATGTTTTTTTAGGAGGTACTGAACAAAAATGTGGTAGAGTAAGTGAATGTTCCACACTCAATCCCAAGTCCCTGCACCTCCCCTCCTTCCAGATTCTTCTAGAACACACTGCTTCTGAAAAATTACTGAGACCTTCACACATTTTGAAAGAGCCACCTTTTTAAGAAGGAATGTAATCTCTGTCATTAATAGCACTTCTGTTTCTAGGGCACCGAGTTCACCACTTTGCTGACCTCTGTACTTCGGGACCAAGCACAGTGGGAAAAGTCAGACACATTTAATCCTGAGCATTTCCTGAGTTCCACTGGAAAGTTTATCAAGAAAGAAGCTTTCATGCCCTTTTCAGTGGGTAAGGTATCCTACTTTGAGACAGGTTTGAAAAATCTGGAGATATTTGGCCTTGTCTGAGGACTGTGCTTAGGTTTTATATTTTTTTCCTAAACGTCAGAAATATGGACGAGTGGAAAAGGCCTTTCCCCCACAGGCTTTAAATTGGCTGTAAGAGAGTAGGCATTGGAATGGCATTTTCTTAGGGAATCCTTAAAGATTCCTTGCAGCTGAGGCTAGGGTAGGGCCTTGGGAATTTGAGGAGAAAGTTAAGCAGGGAGACAATGGACAGCCCACTTCACTCCAACCAGAAAAGCTTTGCTTTATTTTTATTTTTTAAAGTAGACTCCATACCCAGCGTGAAGCCCACTGCAGGGCTTGAACTCAGGACCCCGAGGACCAAGAGTCGGTGGCCTAACCAACTGAACCACCCAAGCACCCCTGAAAAGCTTTGCTTTAATATATATAAATGCCAGTGTTTTTTAGAATTTCTTGGGTAGGAGAGGATGGGAGGGGGCTTAGGGATAGGGAAGAGAGAACTTTCCACTAGAGTACATTTTGGAATCCAGGGAACTAAATGAATTTATAATTTTCTGGATTCTTAAGAACTTGAAATGAATTCTCCATTCCTAGAAAAGAATGTTAGCAAAACTATACCATAAGCATTTTGTCACCTTGTGCCTTTCCCCTTACACAAACAATAGGTTAGCATTCACTCCATATACCCATTCAGCGATAGGTAAACAGCAGTCACCCAAAGGATAGACTTTCCTTACCTACTGATAACTAAGAGATACAGAGAGATACAAAGTACAATGCATTCTCCTAATTTTTACACACAAACACACCCATAGGATGATATACCAGAAAACAGTACATGTATTAATGACTCCTACTTTAAATAAAAATGCAATATCACATCTGGAACTAGAGTTAAAGGAAATGAAAAATAATCCACATGTAATTCACAGTGTTATGAACTCAATTTTTCTTAATGCTTCCTTGCATTATATTTTGAAAAAAAAAGCCATGGAAACATAAACAATGATCTCTGGAGGGCACTTCAGCTACATCTAATTCCAAACCCTCATTTTACAAGTGAAGAGATGGAGCAATTAGTTTATTACCCATAATGTTTGTTTTTTTTTTTTTCCCTAGACTCCTTTATCAGATCTTGGATTTACTGATGTTTAAAGAGAAGAAACAATGTTTCCCTTGACACCCCCTTTTCTCCATAAACAGCACTGTTTTTTTCTGACCAACTTTGTCTCCAGGTTCTCCATGGTTCCTCACATACCTGGGCCTGGAGGCTTCTTTGGACTATGAGACAAGAAGCAAATAGTCCAGATTTTTGCAGAGTGGCACATCTTCAAACAAGTTTGGCAAGGCTTACCTTAGGAATTCTAAACATCTCCAGATATACTGTGTGTGTGTGTTCCCTGCTTTAGGAAATCTAGGAGTAGTGATACTCTGTTTTATCATAGACAAACAAATGGGAATATTCTTAAAATATAACAACCAGAAAACCATCACAATAAGAAAAAATATCATAAACCCAATGTTGAGTGCGAAGTCCTCACGCTCATCCTTACTTACTGCATTAAGACAGAGATTTTGCTCTCTGGAGGGCTTATTTGATTTTTGATCACAATCACTCCTAACTAATTTTGCATACAGCATTTCTTTTTAAGATAAACAAGATCATTTGCTATATTTTCACCTATATAATCTTAAAAGTAAACCAAAACAATACATGCATTTTATTTTTAGGCAGCTAGACTCTTACCTTGAAACTGAATAAACCTAAATATAGGGTAGATAATTCACACCCTAAGTTGCATTATTTATCATCCATTTAGATGACACCACTCAATCATACATTTCGTTCTGGGCAGGTGGGAAGATCTGATCCTAAAAGCTAGATTAGGTGTTCCTTCCATGGGCTCCCTCAACACCCTATTGTAGCTTGTGACACTGTGTAGTATTTACCTAGTTCCTTGTTGGGCTCACCTACTGGGCAGTGAACCCTTCCTGAGCAATAGTCTCAGAGCCAAGCTAAATTAAATACCTGTATCTCCTTGACATTGCACATACATTGATGGATTGAATTGTTAGCTTTTATTTAATAAACATTTTCAAACAGAGAGAAGAGTATACATTGCCTTTCACCTCTAAAAGTCCTGCCTTGGTACTAGGCATCATGAAAAAATACCCCCCACTACCCTTTGTGGAGTTCATCTGTTTCCTGGAAGTCCCATATAAACCAAAGTGCTACTTTCTTTGAGTTGTAAAATAACTACATTTAAATATTTTTCTGAACGTTGAAGTCTTTTGTGACTC